CGTCGTAGTTTCATTGGTTACCGATAGTATGGAAAAGCACTCGTAAACTTTCGAGCCCAGGATATTGCAAATCATGGAAGTTATTTACTTTAATTATCAGTGCATTAGAACAACTTCAGCAAATCGTAACACTCCTTAATTGGCAGTTGCGAAACCTGTTCATGGCAGAAATCTACATCGATGTTATCATGGCTTCTACGAAANAACGATGGATATTAAAATTTATACCTAGCACCAAAAATAGGCTCGATGCGGCCCTCCGAACCCCGCGTTTGATCATCATAAAAATTCTCACAAATCACAAAATATTGGTCTGAGAACCCTAAGAATTTATTTAGTACTCACTGTCTATTTTCGGAGAAATGTACTCTTCACTTCCAGAGAATCGGCCTCCGAATTTCGGATGACCAGACCCAAATAATCCGTGAGTTCAAACGTTCACCGCTCTCAAAATATTTCAGTCACGTTCAAAATAATTACATCATTGTAATCCATACACTTTGTCAAATCCAACGATATATAATTTATCTATGACACAAGGAATCCGCTGTAAAACACTAGAAAATCCAGAGCGCCCGCACAGACATCCTACGATTCAGTTACAATAACCATCAAACTACGTCTAATATCAGCTTGACCGTGGCAAATTGTAACCATTGATTTGTTCCAACTACATGGAGTTCATTACCAACTAATTGTAAATGGCCGGGTATCGCCGATTTTTTATTTCTCACAAATACTCTCTCACACATGCTGTTATCAACAGAACGAAACGACCGTTTTTTTCATTCGCAACTCGCGGCGACCTCTTTCTTAGTTTCGTTGGTTACCGGTAATATGGAAAATTACTCGTAAACTTTCGAGCCCAAGACATTGAAAATCATGGAAGTTACCCGCTATCGTTATCAGTGCATTAGAGCAACAACTTCAGCAAATCGTAACACTCCTTAATTGGCAGTTGCGAAACCTGTTCATGGCAGAAATCTACATCGATGTTATCATGGCTTCTACGAAACTACTGTTGACGTCCAGTACCACAGAAACCCGTGCCGTACGTAAGACAGTGAACTATTAATTATACAAAGTGAATTTGCTTTACTAACCTATCTATATCATATATATAGATGTTACACTATTTAACTACTGTAAGAAGATATTGTACTTTTATATGCTTGAATAATAATTTTAGCAACGAGTTACATAACTATTTCAGCCTTTATAAAATTTTATTTAATTTAAAAAAAAACGTTTGTATTACTAATCAAAATAAATAACTAAAACTGTGTGATATGCCATTTTTTATGAGGTTTTGATTTAACAATTATATATAATTTTAGTTATTATATCTGATAAAATAGCAAAAGACTTAAGTTCGAGGATATAAATGAGTTATATTAATCAACTTTAAAATGTGCATTCCCAACCGATTAAAAAAGATAATATTTTCCTCATGTATTGTACCTATAAACTAAAGTGTACTTGACCTACATTTTTCTATGCGTGTACAATCTATATATAACTTTTAAGAATTAAAAATTTGAATTGTTATTCGAATGAAACAAACGCTGTAATGAAAGATTGCGTGAAATGTTTTCGCAATTAATCAATTCAATTATTTTATTAATTATGTTGCATAGAAAATCCAATATAATATATATAGAACTAAGTATTACAAATTTAAACTTTATAAATTAAAAGTCTTATTTATTTTGAAAGAAACTTTTTGCTGAAACTAAAGTTAATTATTACTTTGTAATGTTGTTTGTTTCTTTTCAATTATGTATTTGGAAATTACTCATAAAATATATTATTCACAAAATAGCAGTAAAAATTTATAATTAGGCAATCGTTTATCATTTATAAACGTTTACTAACTGAACAACAGAAAATATCGAATTATATGATTTTTCATGAGCAGTTGTCAGCTTTTCTACTAAGAATTCCAATCGTTACATTGATTGTATTTTTCAACTGTACAAAATTATTATCGAGAAAATCTTATTATGTAGAAAGGAAATCATTAATCAGAGTATCATGATACATTATAAATAAAGAATTTTTTTAAAATTTACTATCTATATTTTCATATATCATAGTCGGCTTAAAATCGTTATCTGCACTTATCTGTAACTAACGTAACAAATTAAAACTGTTTCATTTACAATCGATGAAACAAAACATTTTCAACAAATAAGTATTCTGTTTTTGTTATTTCTGTTAATTCTGTTATTTGCTAATTCGGATAATTACCTTAGAGAACTTAATTAATTAACTAGAAACTTTGACAATGTAAAAGTTATATAAATTTGACAAATAAGTGTGTTTAATTTACATTGATAGAATATATGAACATTTTTCTATTACACTTTCGTTTAGTTAAATTTTATAAAAGTATCAGCAGACCCCGCCACGCGTTGTTGTGGCTCAAAATGTATCCATTATAAATTTATAACACTTCCCCCGTGGAAAGGAATTTTTCGAAAAATTTATTCTTAGTGTAGATTCTCTTGACGACCCCTATAAAAACACAATCAAAAACGCAAAAACCCGCATCTAAAACAGTATAATAGAAGCCAAGTTCTTCACAGTGAGCCTTAATCCTGACTCTCTCCCCCATGGGGCAAATATCGAAAAATTTATTCTCAGTGTACATTCTGTTGACGTACCCTATTTAAACGCAATCAAAAACGCAAAAACCCGCATCTAAAATAGTATACGTAAATAGAAGCAGAGTTCTTTACCGTAAGCCTTAATTCTAACCATCTCCCTTTAGTGGGGGGGGAATTTTGACATGTATATTATATAAAAACACGTGCGTGTTCGAATGCAGCGAAGTGTCAAAATTTCTAAAAAATCGGTAGGAACAAACAAACACTACATTTTTATTTATAGAAATAAATAGATGATCTGCGTTAGTTCATTTTCACAGAAGAGCAAACTTAGGGCGTCGTACTCGTAGCGCCATTTGTTGGACACAAAAGCCTTAACCATAGATGATATCATTTAATTAAAAAAAATTAAAACTATTGGAGGTCGTTTTTGTTATCAAAAACTAGCTTTAAATAACTTTACCGAAGGAAAATCTGTGCACTACAACTTTAGAACGATGAATGAAATTTGATATCAATTAAGCGTGAATCGTGTGTCATTAAATGTAAATTAAAATCGCGATAAAATTTTTTCGGTCGAGAAAAAATTTGGAGACTTAAAAAACATTCTATAAATCCAAAAAAACAAAAAATTTTTTAGGGAATCCAAACACCCGAGGGAGTCCAACTTGCCCGAGATATCTCCGGCTTGGGGCCATTTGCCATCCGCAGTAGTCGCTGTCCAAAAAACAGACGTCTGACTCAGTCACATACATCAGTAATCACAATCCTAGACGTATGACCACAAATATTGTAAACTCTTTCTCGGCGCGCTTCCCTTCATTTTTGAGAGTGTATGCTCGCGATAATTTCTATGTAGCTAGATTATTTAAGTTATGTCCAATAAATTTTTGTTTTGTTGTTAACTGGTGTTTTAATTCAAGTATCGCCAATGTCTTACCAACTACTACTCTCACCTCCCCCACTCGACCTGACAAAAAGAATTTCGATTTTCGGGATAGAAACCCATAGAGCAGCCATCCTTGACCAGTGGGTAGTTTGCACCAAATTGTTGCCGATCAAGAAGAGGTACGACTTGGTCGACCTGAGAGACTACCCACAAATTGGTGTCAGGGGTCGAGTTCGACATTTTCGAACTATCGGTAAGGCGGTAAAACGCTATAGTCGAGTTAAGAGAACTGTTATAACATTATTTATGACATTTTTTAACATACATTATGTTATGTTAAGAGATAACATATATAAAAAATTGTACAGTAATTTATATATTTTAAAATTATTTTTAAAACATATACGTTTATAATTTTATTTTCATATTTATGTAGATGTCAAGTTTACTGAAGGGTCTAAAATATATGTCAAAATGCTTAAATAATTTAACAATATTTAATAAATTTAGTGTAATATATATCTTCAGTCTGAAATTATCAATAATGTTAACAAAATGAAAACATTTAAAACGTTAAGAATATCTGATCAGTAGTCTTCATTTTTTTACTACTGAAAAATTCTGTTAGTTAATTAATGCGCGTAACCATGCGTAATCGCGCGTAACCATGAGTTAATTTAAAACTGATTTTGAAATTTAAACTGGTTGACATTTATTTTAAATTATGCTTGTTGGCTTATAATTTAAATTATTTATTTTCAACTCGAAGCAAATCAGGAAGTGTATTATTATCGGTAACATTTCAATAGATTTGTACCGGTAATAAACGTTAGTTTATAATAAATTTGTAAATAGTTTATAATAAACGTTAGTTTATTATCGGTACAAATGGATTGAATGATAGTAATATAATAAAAAAAAGAAATTTTCAAGTAAGCTGTAATAATGTTTAAGTCTTTCTTCTTAAAATCTGTACATGATTACAAAATTGTATTATACAATTAACGAAAGTATGTTTGAATATTACGAATACATTATACGATGATTTCTGTTATATGTAATTAACAAATCTTTAATATTACATGATGATAATAATTTTTACTTACGGTAGGTGAAGTATATAAATATTCCAAATACATTGATTCATCCAACAACAAATATTTATATATTCATAATTATTTCATAAATATTTTCACTCAAACGAATAAGTTTTTGTTTTTTGATAAGTTTTTGTGATATTTTTCGGATTAAATCTAATATTCACAATATGAAACATAATATAGTTGAAAATTGTAAAGTTGATTATTATATATGATTATTGTTTTAATGAATTACAATATTCACAATTAGTTAGTTTCAATATCGTAATAAATTTCAATTTTTCGTATGTAATCCGTAATACAATTATGTGTTGTTTAGAATAAAATTAATAATACTCATTAGATTAATTTAAACAGTGTTTTGTTCTATCGACTATAACTAATAGACAGTGTGAAGGAAATATAAAGTTTTATCTTATTTGTGTTGAAAAGATTATCAGAATTATCATAATTGATAAATTCTATAATTTTACATTAGTAAAGTGGATTACATGTAACAATTTTCATTACTTTAGTTAATATTATTTCAATGATTAAGCAGAATAAAGACACTACATATCCAATGCCCATAAGTAACAAAGGACTTTCAATATCTTCAATTGACAATGGTCGGAATTTTGATGATTCTTGGAATTCTTTAACTTCTTTATTATTTAATTTTTCAAAAATTCCAGCTTCAAACATGCGACTTACTCTAAAATAAAATTGTTTTATAAATATAAAAATAAATTTTAATTATTGTATAAAGTAAGAATGAATTTATAAATTTTTTACATGTTAGTCATATCCTTCTTAAATGGAAAATTCTTTCTGACTATATAAGCACACATATATGTACGAAAAGAATCTTTCGACATCACATATTTATGCCTTTCTACGTTACTGATGTGGTTATTTAAGAGACCTTTAAACATTATGTATGCAAATCGTTCATTCTGTGCTTTTTTAATGCCTTCTGCAATAGTCATTGAATTATTATTCGACAGAATGTTTTCACCTAAAATATTAATACTTTCTGATTTCGATTCCTAGAATTAATAATTATATTAATATAAAACACAATCGTTATAATGAACAAATACTGAAATATAAAAAAACAGACAGAAAATGACATCTTTCCGTAAAGGTATGTATAAATCTTTAAATTTAAAACTCTTACCATGATATCTTTCCAAGTAGCATATCCCTTGTACGTTCCGCATGAGTATTCACCGTTGCGGACAAAAACAGAAAGTTCTTGAAAATCTTTTGGAATAGACTCAGTTAAAGGATATGTCATAAAAGACATTAACGCTCCACTATAACCGGATACCAAAACAAAAATCGATAACCACCAAATTCCTATCATGAATCTGGACGCAAATCTTTTCACTTTCTCTAGATTCAATCCTAAATTGAATTAGAAAGAATTTTTCTCATAAAACTCCCGAGTTTAAGTTATATCATAATTAAAAAATTTCACCTTTGCCCAGTAATGTACAAACTAAATTCCAAAAAACTGTACACAGAGTCCACCGTTTTCCTGCTTTTGCAGCAACAAAGTCCTTCTCTAGCACTTTATATAGCGTTAGTCCAAATATCAATACAATAGAAAATATAGCGATCCATACCTGAGTACATAAAATATAACTTTATGTTTGATTTTTAGTTATAGTTTAACAGTTGTTATTGTTACTTACATTTAAGGTAAAAGGCTTCGTAACAGAATTCCAATCAAAAACTTTATCTGGAGTCCTAATAAGAAAAACTGTAGAGGGAAATAAAAAAGCTGACGAAAACCCCATTGCAGAGAAGCGTTCGTAGTTGAGAACTATAGGTATAAAGGCCACATCTGCTTCCTGAAATAGAAAATTAATTATAAATTTTGAAGTTAGAATAAATGTACTTTAAAGTGTTGTTTGACAAAATATCAAATTAAATTGTTGTGCTGTTATACAACTTGTATTGGATTTTAAAGGTATTGTAAGATTAATTAAATTATACCTTTTTCTGTACGAAATATATTCAGTTTATTATTTTATAAATGTTATGAAATGATCTTTTGCTCATATGACCTACATAAAATCATTGATAAATAAGGTCTAACACATACAAATATATTTGCATATGTGTATAATTAAATATCTCTACATATTAAAGAGAGTAAATGTTTAAAAATTTACAATATTCGTTTCCTTAAAAATTTCGTCAGACGTCGATTGTTTGTAAGTCAATTAAAGACACAGTCTGTACTACAAATTTGGTAACAACCAATTTTTCTTATCACGTGTTTCAGAATATCAACCTTTAAGGACTGGACCTTTCTTTTTAGACTGCTTGGCTGTCAAGATTAAAGCATTCCTATGAAAATAACACAGAAAATATCCAAATGAAATTATAAACTTAAAATAGGAACTGCTGGATTTTACAGTTTTCTTCTGGTCCGTTTATCGTTTCTATTTGAAAACTTCCGACCGATTATATTTGCTGAGAAATGCGCTGGTAAATGCAGATTCCCTTATATCTCTGTCCGGTGACAAATCGTTGAAAACATTTGTAATTGTAGAATTTCCTCGTATTGAGAATTTTTTGTAAGTTAAATAAAGATCCACTCTGTCCAATTTTTTTTACCTTACAAAAAATTGTTATCTGACGAAATTCTACTATTACAAATTTTTCCAAAAATTTCACCAGGAAAAAATTACGGAAATACTAATTTACCAGCGCATTTCTCTACTAGATATGAAGGCCGAAAATTCCTTCAAAAATTTTTTGGAAACACTTTCACTTTAATTATCTTATAAAAAATATATTTCTACTAATGTAAGAACTGTTCGTAAGGTTACACGTGAGAAGCATGTTAAAAATATAGTAATATTGGCATAATTTTTTGCTACAATTTGAGAAGAAATTTAATGAGAAGGTTATTTGCTCGAACTACCAAAAATCATTGAGAAATAAGGCCTCTTACAAATGTAAATCTGTCACCGTAATCCAAAAAAACACTTTGGTAGACGTATCTCACAGAAACTTCTGGTTAGCAAATTATTTTTTATTTTCCATTGAACTACAAATATATTTCGGGTTGGTATAATGTACTCCAACCCCTCCTCAGTGCTAGTTCAAATAAACAAGAAATATTAAAACATGACTTTCTTATACCATAGAAACAAACTAAATCATAAAAAACACTTACTTTTCCACATTATGTAAATTACAAAAACTTCTCATTTGTTTTTAAAATAGGAATTAGGAGGGCAAACCTTCCTCATTCAATAACCTGTATTTAAAAATAAACTTTTGCATATCGTATTAATATACATCTAAAATTAAAAAAGAGTAACTTCCAACAAACAAACTTCCATAATACTCACAATCATTTAAACCTTTTTTCACATACGTATATATCAGACGTAGTAAAAAATTGTTAATATAAAAATTGACATATGTATGTAAAAGTTTTTTTATACACAGAAAATATTATTAAAAATATACTAGTATCAAAATTTCTATGGAACATTTTTTACAAATAATTATATAATGTTTTTACTTGTTTTAGCGCTATCTGTTAATTCGTACCAGTGGTAATCAATTTGCACACTATCTGAGTTATTTATTAAATTATTATTTTGTTTCCTTATTTCTAAATGCTCTTTAAATTTTGTTTTATAAGGGTCTTTTTCATTATAAATTTTATTTCTAAATCTTTAAGTTTAGTATTTTTATTATGATTATCAGTTATATGTGTATATATATATTTTAATTCCATTATATATATACACGTATAAGTAATGATAATCGTAAAAATATTAAACTTGAAGATTTAGAAATGAAATTTATAATGAATCATTACCCAAAGTTTATTCTTACTAAATGGAAAACACGTTACTTAAAAAACATATATAATACGTAGCTTAAAAATGAAAAAAAAAACATATAAAAAATTTTCATATATTAAAAATATTTTTGATTATTGTAGTAATAGCATTAAAAATTATAACATTTGTTTGGTCCCATCTTTGACCAATAAAATTTCACAAAATATACACAGATGTATTGATAAAAGTAGTATTAATAATATGGATTGCCTAAAAAAAGCTGGTGTTGTATATAGGTTGGAATGTGATTGTCAAAATCCATATATGTACTGTACCTTGGTGAAACAGGGCGCATGTTAGATGTTAGAATAAAAGAACATGATGCGGCCATCAGATTGAAGTACAGTAGAGCATCGATTATCCGACTCAGTTGGGAACTGGGGTTGGTCAGATAATTGAAAAGTCGGATTACCGAAAAGTATGAAAAAATCCATTATTAGTGTAGTATATTATTATATCCCATGTAAGTATTATATTAGTATATCGCTATTAACCTACTTCGCGTTGAATTTTTCTCCATGTTAAGCCTATCAATTTTTTAAAAATAATAATCGTCGCTATTTTATCGTTAAGAATTAGAAAATTAAGCCCCGTTTAAATGCTGGCTCCCTTTCATTGTCGATCCTGTGTTGCCAGCTAAAACACTTATAAATAATATTAAAGTAGCCAAGACATAGCCAAATATTGTAGCGCCACATCACTAGCGGACATTTGAATTTCCAGACTAGAACGCCGTCGGTTAACTGAGGTGACGGTAAATCGGGGGTCGGATAAACGATGCTCTACTGTACAATAATTCTCCGTGGTATGAACATACAAATAACAATAATTGAAAAATTAACCGTAATAATGTAAAAATTTTGCATTTTGAAAAAGACCCTTATAAAACAAAATTTAAAGAGCATTTAGAAATAAGGAAACAAAATAATAATTTAATAAATAACTCAGATGGTATGCAAATTGAATACCACTGGTACGAATTAACAGATGGCGCTAAAACAAGTTAAAACATGGTATAATTATTTGTAAAAAATGTTCCATAGAAATTTTGATACTAGTATATTTTTAATAATATTTTCTGTGTATCAAAAAAACTTTTACATACATATGTCAATTTTTATATTAACAATTTTTTACTACGTCTGATATATACGTATGTGAAAAAAGGTTTAAATGATTGTGAGTATTATGGAAGTTTGTTTGTTGGAAGTTACTGTTTTTTAATTTTAGATGTATATTAATACTAAATGCACAAGTTTATTTTTAAATACAGGTTATTGAATGAGGAAGGTTTGCCCTCCTAATTCCTATTTTAAAAACAAATGAGAAGTTTTTGTAATTTACATAATGTGGAAAAGTAAGTGTTTTTTATGATTTAGTTTGTTTCTATGGTATAAGAAAGTCATGTTTTAATATTTATTTATTTGAACTAGCACTGAAGAGGGGTTGGAGTACATTATACCACCTGAAATATATTTGTAGTTCAATGGAAAATAAAAAATAATTTGCTAACCAGAAGTTGCTGTGAGATACGTCTACCAAAGTGTTTTTTTTTTCTTTTTTGGATTACGGAGACGGATTTGCATTTGTAGTATACCATACAGCAAACCATTTATATATTATATAAGGCCTCATTTTCTTCAATTAGAGAAATGATCTATTTACTACTTCTTGATTTTTGATTTTAAAATTACTTTTTACACACTAACTGATCATAAACATTTTAATTTTATGTTTACTCACCTGGTTTGCCACTTGTCCGGTAATTCCCTGCCACGTACCACTTTCGTCTTTGTTTCCTAAGGAACTTTGTATCGGATGCACTACAAAATAACTATTTAAACGTCACAATTAAATATATGCAAAATAATTAACCTGATAAATTTATAATTCCATGGGTTATACTTTGTATTTAGTTAAATTATTTTTTGTATTTAATATAAAAATGTTTAAATTATGTAATTTATACATTTTTCTTTCACAATATGTACATAATCTAAAAGATAAACAAATTTTACTATTAGTAAGTCAAACCAATACTTTTAAAACAATAATATAAATATTGGCATTGAAATTAATATTTATAAATATGCCAAAATAAATATATCGTTAAATTAGGGAATATAATGAAGGAAAAGTATGGCTATCGTAAATGAATTGCGAAATGAAATGTTTATTAATTACACAATTTGACTAAAATTTTTACGAGTATATAATTTACTTAATTTGTTATAGTCACATCATCATAAATACGGACAGAGTCAAGGCCAAACAACACAGTAAGATAAATTGGTAATAAGAAAAATAACACTAAGGAACATAAGCATAAAACGCTGTAGCCATAAGAGCGGCACATTTTAGATTTTAATATTATACCATTCAGAGTAAAATAAGCTGTTTTAGTTTTGCTTATCTTCATGTTTTTTTTGCATTTCTCTAATCTTTCAGTTTTCTGTCAGCTTAGGTTTGGGACAGTTCATACAGCACAACATCATCCGCAAACAACATACTCCACGAAGCTTCAAACTTCAGGTCAAAGATTAACACGTCTATTATCAGATGAAACAAATAAAGGCTAAGGGACGATCCCTGATGTAAACCAACATTAACATAAAACACTTTTGTAGTGCTCACACTAAACTTGGGTCACTGCTCCCTTGTACATTTTCTTGTTAAGCCTAATATATTTTTAGAAACATCATGTGCAATTCTTCGTGCATTTCCCGTGCCTTTCTATCGGGTGTTTTAAAACAACAATAGCACCAGTCGTACTTCTTCCAGCAAAAAGTCAAACTGTTCTGCTCTAATCTCGAATTTCTGCCTAATCCTTCCTTTTACAATTTTATCCTAAACTTTTATACTATGGATAACTAACTTTATACCTCTGTAATTTCTACAATCCTATTACCTTAAAAAGCCGACAAAGGAATACTTTTTTTCTATTCATCTGGGATCTTTTCCTTCGTTTCTTCATAAAGTTTCAGAAGATATCAATTCCCATTTGACACAAACCTCTCCAACCCTCAATGGAAAATCGATTAGTGCCTACTGCTTTACTCATTTTCATCTTTCTAAGTACATTTTCCACTTTTTCTCTGTTAATACCTTGCACAACTTTTTCATTTGATTTTTCATCTAAATATATAAAATTACTTGTTCTGACTATAGATTGATTGATTGATTGATTGATTGACTGATTGATTCATCATTCCCAGGGCAAACCGCTTAACCTATAGAGGTGAAATTTGCCATCAAAATGCACACTAAGAAGGAATTTTTCGAAATTCCTCGCAGGTGTAGGAAGGCTTAGTTTTCATTAAGTACTTCGATGTATTAAATTGATAACATTTCAGAAATTGTTATAAATATTTTTATATATTTCGATTTTTAAACCAAACGTTCGAACTGTTTTAAATTCGAATTTGTTATTGCATATTGGTTCGATTATAGAACGATTGAAAACGTTTCATAAAATTGATCAAATTAAAAATAGTTCGTTTGCTTCTCAGCAATTCTCATCATTCTCAGCGGTAGGTTTATATAACAATTACTATGGTTGTTGACATACTGAACATTAATGGGGTTTGCTTGCAAAACCTGCGCGGGAGAAGTCGCGGGTAACAGCTTGTTTTGTGTAAAGTTCTTTACTGAATAATTTCCTAAAATATTCTTTCCAGCTTTTTTTACCCTTTTCATAATTTTGTAATACTACTTGTTTATCATCTTCAATCGGTTTAATAAAGGTAAAATTTTTTGACGTTTTATTTCTTGCGTTAGCAATTCTCATCAACTCTTATTTCCTTTAACCTTAGAAATTTTATAACTCATTTCTTAAGCCTTTGTGTTCTAATAGCCTTCGCCTTTTATTTATTTTATTTGCCAAATAGTAAGTTTATTTATTTGCAGCTCTTTTCATCAAATCCCACTGTTTTTTTGTCTGTTTCTTTTCTTTTATTGCGGCTTGTACCTCAGCATTCCGCAACCAAAGTTTCTTTCCTTATGGCAATTTCTTTCCAGAAGGTTTTTAAAAAGAACTTTTCTGCAACTTTCAAAATGCAATTACAGTCGACCCCCCCTATAACACGGTAGATACGTTTCGTTTTTTTGAATCAATCCTTGCCAATCACAGCCCGACACGTATGAAGTTTACGGACTATGGCTGTTTGAAAGGTTTTCTTCCATAAAATTAATCGATTCTAGACTAATTCGACTCAGCATTTCCAAAATATGTATAATTTTTTTGGGAATAATCCGTACAAACTACGCTATAAACAAAAAATTGTAGGATTATTTACCGAGTGTGCACCATTCGACATCGCCGTTGCTCAGGCTTGTTTTCGTCACGGAGCAGCGCACCAAACGGCGGGCAATTTCTGATAAGTTATTTTTCTGCAAAAACTTCGTTGAACTCTGGAGACATCATTAATATTGATAATTTTTATGGCCGTTGAATAAGAAATGTTTCGTTTACAAGAAATGTATAAAATTACACTGTATTACACTTACGGTACCTTATTTACATACTGTACAGACGATAGTAAACTCAACTAACTCGCCTAAACTCTCCGTAGCGTAGCGCTGGACGGCGGAAAGTATATATGTAATTATAATAAAGTTACATTAAATGAAGTTTATATATATTTATATATACAGTAACTAATTTATATATAATTATATGTACAGTACCTAATTTATATATAATTTATATATAATACTGTACAGATGATAGTAAACTCAATTTAATCGCTTAAATTCTCCGTAGCGTGGCACTGGACATCAGAAAGTAGTTCGGCTGCCCGATGATGTTTTACCGAATTATAGGAGTTTTTTTTACCAGGTTTGTACGGATACCGTCGCATTTTTTTCGCCGTCTTATAGGAATCGTAATTATAGGAACCCGTGTTATAGGGGGTCTACTGTATTATTCAGTAACTGCGATGTTTGCACATCAACCAGAAACTGGAAAACGGTAGACCCTCTATAACGGTTAGATACGTTCCACGCTAATCGAAATTTACGTTGTAGGAATAATTAAATACATGAGCCCTCAGCCCGATAGGTGTGAAGTTTACAGACTAAGGCTGATTTAAAGGTTAACTTCTATAAAATTAATCGATTCTAGACTAATTCCACTCAACATTTCCAAAACACATATAATTTTTTGGGAATAATCTGTATAAACTATGCTATAAACAAAAAATTATAGGATTACTTACCGAGTGTCCACCATTCGACTACGCCGTTGTTCAAAGCTTGTCTTCATCGCGGAACAGCACACGAAACGGCGGCCGCGATTTCTGATACATAAATTTTTCGCAAAAAAATAACTTGACCTTTGGAGACATCATTAATATAAATAATTTTTATGGCCGTTGAATGAGAAGTGTTTCTTTCACAAGAAATGTATAAAATTAGTGCTCTATTAGACTTACGGTACCTAATTTACATAGTGTACAGACGATAATAAACTCAACTTATTGCCTAAAATTTCCGTAGCGTGGCGCCACGCTAGACGGCGGAAATTATGTAATTAATTATAATAAAGTTACAATAAGTTAATATATAATTATATATACAGTACCTAATTTATATATAATTAATATATATCATAATTATATGTACAGTACCTAATTTATATATAATTTATATATAATACTGTACAGACGATAGCAAACTCAATTTAGCCGCTCCGTAGCGTGGCACAGGACAAAGGAAAGTAGTTCGGCTTCTCATCCACTATTGGTCCAGATTCTATCAATCTTGTCGATAAACGACGTTATAGGAGGTACTTTATACGAATGTTGCTACAAGTTTTTCGCTACGTTATAGGAATTGTCGTTATAGGAACGCACGTTATAGGGAGGTCGACTGTACTTTTAACATTTTTACATTAAACAATTTTTTTAATTCTTCTACTTTCAATCTCCACCATTTGACCGTTTGTTTAACATGGCAAATACAATTCTTATAATAATCCATAAGAAAGTTAGAATTTACCAGGAGGACTCTGTGCTGTGCAGCAACACTTTCTTCATTTAATCTTATTAGATATCTAGCTGCAAGACCCGTTTCGCTTGGTTTTTATTTCTTCGTACATTTACATGTAATATAGTATATATATATATATATAAAAGACTGTTTCTCTTCCTCTACATAATCTTTTTCTGATTCGATATGTTTCCCTATAATTTTCAAGTTGCACTTCTGTTTGATTATTTCTGTCTTGTTGCTAATTTTCGTGTTGCAATGTTACATGTACTTCTCTTTCTTCCGTGGTTTAATTTCTCCGCGCAGCCTTTCCTCTTTAACATATGATTGTTTGCGCAAAAATTCTTCCTTACGCTTTGGCATTTAAAAAAATTTTTTTTTTTATTTTTACTTTTCACACTTCACACTTCACTTTTCACTTTCTACATTTTGCTGTTATTCGTACACTTTTACTTATGAAAAATGAACTGAAGCATGTACCTCACACGTCTTGAAATGCCATCCCCACTACTAACACATAACAGTCCTCGATGTTCGAAAACATTTAAGATCAATATTAAGATTACATCATAGCGAATATTACCCGTTTTTTACAGAATGCGAGAATTAGATCGTTCATTTCCAGACTAATTAGAGAATTTTTACATAGGTCTAAAAATATGTTTGATTTCCTGCAAAAACGAAAAAACAGCACCTGCGCCTGTAAATCTTGCACGACGCTTTCTCTTAAAACTTCAATTGTTACTTAACCATTTCCATTGTTAACACTATCATTGTTAACACTTCCCCGGGAGCAAATTTCGAAAATTCCCTTTTTAGCGTACATTTTCATGACGCGCCCTAACTGTGTACCAAATTTCAACCTTCAACTCCTAAGCGTTTGGGCTCTGCTTTTCTTATTATTATTCGGAGTGGCAATTTCAAACGGCAATTTTCGCAACTAGAAGTAATATTATCGACGATATTATCTTTAATATTGAAAAAAAATTCAGAACTGGCAAGAGCTCTTTCTATTTAAGTTTGGGCATTGTATAACATATATATCAATAAACTTTTTATTAACAAATACACTAAGTACACTTTACGCAGTTTTCACACTTTATTTTCGATTTATATTCAGTCATTGTATTACTTTGACTACTCACATTAAACTGTTTGTTTTTATTCACTCATTGCACTACTTTGGAATTTTCACTTCTTTTTCGGTTCTTTCCTTCGTCACTGATGAAAAACTGACGTTCGAACCCATGACAGAACTTGCTTTATATACTCCAACCAATTGGTAATCCCACCTATACAAAAAAGGGCTTCGAATGGTCCACAATGTACCAGAACGTACCACAACATTCAAGAGTATTCTGGAATGTTCCACAATGATCTGGGTTGTTCTGGGATGTTCCTGAACGTTCCAGAACATCCCGAAACATTCTGGAATGTTGTGAATTGCTCTTGTATACTCTCAGTTGTTCTGAACTGTTCTAGAAATTTATAGAGGGCGAAACTTCCAGCCCTTTTATCGTCAACAGCATGTTCTTTCGTTTTTTTCTTCATAGATCGTTACATATGTAATAGGTTTTTTAGCAAATTATATGTCTTTTATTTTTATTTCACTTTTGTCCTATTAACTGTTAAAATCGCTATATTGACGACTTATTTGTACAGAGATATCTGATTTTATTGTACTTGCAAATCTTTTAAAGATGAATGAAGTTTTTTTATTAAGCGTATGGCTCGAGTTAGCTATTTATTTCTTTATATTGATTATTTTTTTTATTTTTAGTTCATCTTGCTTGGATTTCTTAATTATATAGTGACCCTCACGTTAACAATCAATATTTATTCGCATGTGAGATACGCATAGAGTGGAACTGCCATTCTTCCTAGAGAGAAAGATGGAGAAAACATTCTTATCTTGTTGAATATTTGTAAGAAATTGATCAACTGATTACAGAATCAAAAGAGTGAATTTCTATTGCATTTTTTAATTTCTTGTTATGTTTTCATTAAGTAATGTTGTTGTTTGAATGCAATATATAATGTTTTTTGACCTCAAAGCTTAGGCGGTTAAGTGTTAAAGTATTGTATCATTGATTAGTTGTTGTTTTTCCTGTTTAATACGAAAACAGGGCAAGCAATAACGTACAATAAAAAATTGCATTATTATAGTTAACAATTTAATTAAATTATGTAACAGTAATTTTAATTTCGAAATTATTTTAAAACTATAGCAAATAAACATTTGTAATGATAAAAAAAACAGTAAAAGTATAAAAACCCGCATCTATATACTGTTAATGTTCTATGATAAAATGTAATATACTTTTATTGAGATTGACATAAAGACACTTACCTAAATTTTAGTTGTTCTTGGATAACTTTAAAAAATGGAAATAACTTTCCGCCTGTGATTTGTCTTTTAGTTTCATCATATCTCATTAACATTGCATCCTGAGAAACATGAAAACGGATTATTTGTAAACCATTTTTATTATTATTATAATTTTTTTATACAGTAAAAAAATTTATTTACTGAGATTCCAGCAACTTTCCAAACATATGAATCGTTGGACACTCCTATTTGAAATAATAAAATACCTATTATTACGAAACAATATTATTAATAAATACTGTTGAATTTTACTACATTTTTTGTTCTTATTATCTGATTATTTTTATATTTAACTAGCTTGTGGGCCCGGCGTTGCTCGGGAAAAGTAACGATAGCAAAAATTAAGATTATTATGTTATAGTCAACCCAACCCGTTTTTACAGAATGCAAGAAAAGGTCCAATAATTAGAACATTTTTAGTGTACAAATATGTTCGATTTCTCTCAATAACGCAAAAACTTCATCTACGTCTTGCACGTCGCTTTCTATTAACATTTCTATTGTTACATAACACTTCCATTGTTGACACTTCAATTGTTACTTAAAACTTCCATTGTTGATAGAAGTGTTGAGCCTTAATGCTGTCTCTCTCTCCTTAGGAGGCATTTCGAAAAATCTCTTCTTAATGTGCGTTTTCGTAACGTACCCTAACTGTGTACCAAATTTCAACTTTCAACTCCTAACTGCTTGGGCTCTGCGCTTATTATTATTATGTTGGGTTTTGTGAGTTATACTCGGCTGACACCGGTGGCTGTGTACTATGCCGGACCAGAGTCAAGGCATAGCAACCAAAACAAAACTAAAATTAAATAAATGTGTGTGTTTCTGTATTCAGGAATTTCCTAACAATGTGACATGTATTCAATATAGTGGCCTTCTGTAGTGTGATGTATGTAATTCTACTCAATTGTAATGTTCCCAGACTTTTGTGTTGTGTATGTTGTATCATACCTGTACAGGAGAGAACGACAGGTACAATAAGCACCCTATCCATCGTCCACAGATGTCTTATTTCCTGGGCGAGTTCTGTGTACTTGCTAATTTTTTCAGTGCATGAGTTTTGTACATTATGAGTGTTTAGAATGGCTATGTCTATAATGTATGTGATTTTATTGTGTTTTTCAATGAGTGTGATGTCTGGTCTCCTGTGATAAATTGTTTTTTCTGTGATTATGACTCTGTCGTAGTACATTTTGTGTGTATTGTTTTCCAATACTGTATGTGGAATATACTTGTAGTATGGTTCGTGAATGTCTACCAAGTTGTGTTTTTTTGCAAGCTCTTCGTGTATTATATTTGCTACTTGATTATGTCTATGTAAATAACCTGTCTGTGCCAAGAGCTTGCAACCAGAAGTGATGTGTTGTATAGTTTCTGGCATGATGTGACATTTTCTGCATGTGTCATTTGTGAGTGTTGTATCTTTGAGTATGTGTTTTCTGTAGTTTTTAGTATTTATGACCTGATCCTGTATGGCAATCATGAATCCTTCCGTCTCCCCAAAGAGGCATCCCCGATCTAACCAGCTGTTTGACGCAGTTTTGTCAACAAAATCCTGGGCCAGGTCGTAAGGATGCCTGCCATGGAGAGCCTTTTGAGCCCATGATTGCTTAATGTTGTCTATGCTTTTTATATGTTGTGTCATGTCTGTATGTTGTGAGTGTAAGTTTAATGGTGTGTTATTTGAGTCTGCTAGAGTTACTGCTTTATGTAACTGTGATGTTTCTTGTTTCTTGTAGAAAAACTCTCGCAGTGACTGTATTTGTTTGTAGTGAAGGTTAACTATGTCAATCAGGCCACGTCCGCCTTCTTTACGTGGAAGGGTTAATCTTTCTGTGGCGGATTTAGGATGATGTTGTTTATGCTTAGTAAGTGTTGTTCTTGTTTTCCTTTGGAGTTGCTCGAGATCTGTGTGAGTCCAATGTATAACTCCAAAAGAGTATGTGAGTACTGGGATGACATATGTGTTTATTGCTTTAACTGTGTGTTTTGCATTTAACTGTGTTCTAAGTATAGCGTTTAACCTACTTTGGTATTCTTTAATTAATCGTTGCTTTATTTGTGTATGTTCTGTTAGTTTGGCCTGTTGGAATCCTAAGTACTTGTAGAACTCGCCCTCTTCCATGGATTCAATAACGTCTCCATTTCCAAGTGCAAAATCTTTTTTCTTCAGGATTCCTTTTTCTATGTGAAGTTTTTTGCATTTGTCTAAGCCAAACTCAATTTGTATGTTCTTGGTGTATGAATGTGTGATTTGTAGGGGTTGATGAAGTTGTTTCTGTGTGGATGCATAAAGTTGTATGTCGTCCATGTACATGAGATGCGACAGCGTAAACTGTGTTGTTTTTTCATGTCTGATATTGTAGCCGTATTGTGTGTTGTTTAACATGTTGGATAATGGGTTCAGGGCTAGACAGAACCAGAGAGCTCTCAAGGAATCTCCTTGAAAAATTCCTTGCCTAATGAAATTTGGTTTGTTTGTATGGAAGTGTTGTTACTAACCCTGAGATGTAGTGTTGTTTTCCAGTGATGCATAGTGTTTTGGAAGAATGCAATTAGTGATGGATGTATTTGTACACGTGTAGGATATGTAGCAGCCAACTGTGTGGAACACTGTCAAATGCTTTTCTGTAGTCTATATATGCCATGTGTATGTTTCTGTGTTGTTTGTGTGCTTGCCGTAGAATGACTGAATCTATGAGTAACTGTTCTTTGCATCCCTTGTGATTTCTACGGCAACCTTTTTGTTGTTCTGTAAGAATGTCGTGTTCTTCAACATGTTTGTATATTTTGTTTGTGATACAGGATGTCAATAATTTGTATAGTGTTGGAAGACATGTAATTGGTCTGTATTGTTTCGGGTCTGTGGTGTTGTTGTTTTTACGTTTCATGTATGTGATGTCCTGAGTAAGAAATTTTGGCATGTCTTGTGGATTGATGATGATGTGTGTTAGATGTTTGGCTAGTTCCTGGTACAGTGATGTAAACTATTTTTACCAGAAATTGTGAATTTTGTCTACACCGGGTGTCTTCCAGTTTTGTGTTCTGTTAACAGCGTAGCGGATGTCGTGTGCGTTTATTTCAGCTCAGGGCATAGTTGGTATATTGTGCAAGTTTCTGTTCTCCTCTTCGATCCAACCTGCATCAGCATTGTGTTTAACAGTATTGGACCAAAGTGAAGACCAATAAGTTGTGAGTTCTTCTTCTGTTGGTGTGCCACTGTGCTGTGTATCAGCGTTTGTTTTGGTACTGATTTGTCTGTAGAAATGTTTTTCATTGTTTGTGAATAATTTATTTTGTTGTTTTCGTAGTGTACATGTTTTGTATCGTTTGAGTTTACGTGCTTTGGCTGCGAGTTTCTGTTTTAGTGTATCAATGTATTCTGTAATGTGTATGCTGTGATGTTCATGTTTTGTGTGTGTTTTGATTTTCTTGAAAATGTTTTTGAGTTGTTTCTTTAATTAATTTGGGTTTATGTTGTTTTTAGTGTATTGTGTCAGCCTGCCTAATTGCTGTCTAATGTCATTTATTTGTGTTTTTAATCTTCTCTGCCAAGCAGGCTTCTGATAGAATTGTGTTTGTGTGTGTTTGTCTGCGATTGTATTTTCAGTCCATAGTGTGTTACTACTGTGACTGTCCCAGCATAATCTAATGTATGAATGTCTGAGAGTGTAGAAATTCTATTTTCATGCTATCTTCACTGAATAGCGAGAATAGAATGAATATCGTTAATGAATAGCGAGAATAAATATCGTTAATAAATAAGAGAGTAATGATGGCATCACCGGCATGTTTTTATAAGAGTTATAGAAACCTAGCAGTAAAAATTGTAAGGATTTATTCCAAGTTAGAATTCTTAAAGGAGTGTCAAGGTAAGAGGAAATTACCCAATGTCTATATTTAGAATTAAGATTCCTGATGAATGTACCGTGTTTCCCCGAAAATAAGACAGTGTCTTATATTAATTTTTGCTGTGAAAAATGCGCTAGGTCTTATTTTCAAGGAATGTCTTATTTTTTCCAGAAAGAAAAATTCACA